GCAGTCATGTGGTTGGTTAAAACCAGCTCCTAACGGATCCCAGCAACTTACAGATGAACCTGAGTGAACTTTCCTCATTACCATGCTAAAGTCTCCACCCCGAGGAGCTACAGCTTCATTACCATAACATGCAACCTATGTGTTGGCATGATGACTCACTGCATCTATGCAACTGTGACCCCCTCCTCTGTATGTGCCGATGAACCCTCTCCCCTCTCCATCACCCATAAAACCCTCTAAGGGAGGAGACCACCCCTCATATTGTCTTATGCCCAATGTCTGCCTCCAAAGAAAGAAGAAATAAAAACTAAAAGGCAGAAATGAAATCCACAGGCAGACAGCCCAGCACTGCACCCTGGGCCTGGTAGTTAAAGATCGACCCCTGACCTAATCGGTTCTGTTATCTATAGATTACAGACATTGTATAGAAATGCACTGTGAAAATCCCTATCTTGTTTTGTTCTGGTCTAATTATCGGTGCATGCAGCCCTCAGTCACATACCCCCTGCTTGCTCAATCAATCACAACCCTCTCACATGCACCCCCTTAGAGTTGTGAGCCCTTAAAAGGGACAGGAATTGCTCACTCGGGGAGCTTGGCTCTTGAGACAGAAGTCTTGCTGATGCTCCCAGCCGAATAAACCCTTTCCTCCTTTATTTCGGTGTCTGAGGAGTTTTGTCTGTGACTCGTCCTGCGACACCTCTTGTCACTTTTCCTAGGGAAGAATGCTTTGGAGAATGCTCCCAGTGTCCTCCTTACTTGTGCCAAGTAATAAAACTCCTATTGATCAATACCTGTGTTCTCATGAATAGTTGTTTGTTACCAGATGAATGATCCCCAGTTTTTTTCGAGTAACAGAAGCAGGCATGTATAGTTTCTTCTGATAGCAACCAAATACATGTCATTGGTCCACATCAATCAGTCCTGCAATTCTCCAACATTGACTGCGTGTTCAACAATCCAACTCAATCCCGATGCTAACTATCCAGAGTTAGGCTCAGCCTCCACAGGTACGGGCTCCAGGCTCAGCAACAAATGGAATTCCTTGGCTACTCACATTTCTACGTGGCTGACTACAAACGGTGGAGACCCCCTGAAGCACCTTTAAATTTGATAATTCCCTAGAACAACTTCCAAAATTTAGAAAACTGCTTTACTTATGATTGTCAGTTTATTATAGAGGATACAACTCAGGAACGGCAACACGGAAGAAACTAATAAGAAACTAATATGGGGGGCAATGATTGTGCAGGGCTTCCATTGTTAAAGAAAAAATTATCTAATGATACAAGCTTGATATCCACTGCACTGGGATTTTGCAGCAGGAGAGAGAGAGATGAGGCTTAAACTTGAACACAGCACGGGCAAGTGGGAATTTATGGGCAAGGAGAAGCATACAGGTCAGTGGATGGAAAATTATGAAGAGGAAACCTTGGGGGCAAGAGGGATTCTGGTTAAACCACACTAACAGGATTCTTGCTGAAGACAGGCTAGGGTGAGCAGACATCACCCGGAGAACAGTGAGGATGAACCCGGTCAGATATCGAGGGTGGGAAGTTCCTGCTAAACTGACTTGACAGGATCCTTTGCTAAAATTAGATTTTACAAGGAAGTACAGATGTGCCTAGGAAGAGGTTTGGGAACCTGACTAAAATGTGGTCACTCAGAGAATCTTTGCCCCCATGACCTCTCCAGCCAGGCCAGTCTCCCATCACATCTGTGTTCACCTGCCCCAAAGCTCTCCCAACCCCATCATGTAGGGGTTTCTATGGAGGCTTCATGATGTAGACATTATTGATTAAATAATGGTGATCAGTCCCCATCCGGAAGTTATCCAGCTCCCCCTCCTTAACAAAGAGCCCCCTCTTTAGCATAAACTCAGGTTTATTTGACAGAGACTCCTTTTGAATAACAAGACATCCTATCACTCAGGAAATTCCAAGGGTCTTAGGACCTCTGTGTCTGGAACTGGAGTCAAAGACCAAAAATACATATTTTTATTATGCCACATAAGTCATAAATAAACTTTTATTATGCTACAAGGCATAAATTTATTTAAAAATAAAATTTTTTATTATGCCACAAGGCAAAAGCCCAGACTCTGGGATTGTTGAATCCAGACTCTTGTTGGGCCCCCCCGCCTTAAAGAGTTTTGTGATCCTAAATATTTCAAAATGGAGTCACTTATGACAAGTGACTCAGCCTACAGTGAAACTGCTGAACCCTCAAAATGATAAACACAGGTATGATGGACTGAGGTAATAAGATAATATCTGTGTGGCCAGACACCCCCAAGACCTGACAAGAAACTGAAACCAAAAGGTGGCTGACAAATGACCATGGACACTCCTGCAGAGGTCCATAAAACAGCAAAGAAACTGACCATGGAAGGCACCTGCAGAAGCTCTGCCCAAGAAAGCTCTGAGGCCTCCTCATGATATCCACAGTGGTCCCTGGAGGCTCTGCTCAAGAGCAGCAACTTCGCTCAGCAGTGTTTTGAGGGAAATCCAGAGGCGTGCTAACCTAAACGACAGAAATGGGGTTTTTCTGTTCTGCTTTGCTTTGAGACAGGGTCGCACTCCAGTTGCCCAGGCTAGACTGCATTAGAGCAATCTCAGCTCACTGCAGCCCGACTTCCCGGGCTCAGGCGATCCTCTCATCTCAGCCTCCCAAGTAGCTGAGAGTACAGGCACGTGCCACCATGCCCGACTGATTTTTTTTTTCTATATTTTTAGTAGAGACGGGTCTCGCCATGTTGGCCAGGCTGGTCTTGAACTCCCGGGTTCAAGTGATCCACCTATCTAGTCCTCTGGTTGGGTGTGAAAATATGGCCCAGTTCTGGCCAGTGGAGAAGGGAACGGGTCATCTGGGGGACTACTCCCTGAAAAAAAGACTAATGATGAGAATCACCTTTCCCTCCATCTTTTGGGCATAGCCAGGTGAAAATGGGTCACTCAAGGCTGCTACAGGCATGGGAGTCCCTGCAGGGCAACAGTGCAGACCCAGGACCAGTGCAATGGAGACAGCCTGCGGAGTCCTTGGTGACCTTGGTGAGTCACTAGATCCAACCTGAGTCACCCTCTTCCTGCCTTTCTGTTACCGAGACAATGGGTGTCCAGGCTGTTGAAGCCCCTTTGAGTTTAGTTCTGCTTCTTGCACCCAAATGCATTTTAATGGGGCTATGAGTTCCTGGGCTCCACATGGTCTAAGGTAGCCCTCACCTCCAGGGCATCCCCATGGCATGAAGCACCCCCTCTGGCCTTTCCCCAAGACTTCTCCCAAGACTTCTGGTCCAATATTTTCTGGGTGTCGTTACAAGACAATGCCCTATACGGTGCACTGGGGATTGACATCTCCCTGACTCCAAATGCCTCCCCTTCCTGGAGTAGGAAGAGCTGCCCAGGATTCTTGTTAGAAGAGACCTTTATTTTGGCTCACACCTGTAATCTCAGCACTTTGGGAGACCGATGGGGGCCAGATCACAAGGTCAAGAGATTGAGACCATCCTGGCCAACATGGTGAAACCCCGTCCCTACTAAAAATGGAAAAATTAGCTGGGGATGGTGGCGGGTGCCTTTAATCCCAGCTACCCAGGAAGCTGAGGCAGGAGAATCACTTTAAACCAGGAGGCAGAGGTTGCAATGAGCCGAGATCGCACCATTGCACTCCAGCCTGGGCGACAAGAGTGAAACTCTGTCTCAAAAAAAAAAAAAAAAAAAAAAGAAGAGACCTTTATTTCTCAAGGAGGGGCAGAAATTCAGGGCTCCCCTTCGACTCTGGCTGCTCCCAAGGTGGCTTTAAAGCACCAATGAGTCCATGACTTGTGTAAGAAATGATTAGTCCTTTCATCTAGAGAAATAGCTCCCTTTTCAACAGTTGTCTCTCTTCAACAGTATTTAGTATTTGAATGAGGTTGAAACAGTGTCAGAAGGAAAGTAAAAGTGAAATTCTGTCTTTCAGCATAAAAGCTGATCTATAAACAGCGGAGGACCAGACCTCACCTTGGCTTGGAGATGGCTTCGGTAAGTTTCTCGGGACTTCGCATTACTGACTCTACAGCTGTTAGGCAGCTCCGCCCAGAAAAGGCCTCAGTCCGGGCTCCTGGCCTTGGGCACACAGCTCCAGAGCTCGTCTTTAGAAGGCTGTCATGGAAAACTGTATTTGTCTTTTAAAATTGCATCTGCCTGGCTGGACAGGGAGTCCTCTGGGCAGAATCCACCTCCTCTGTGTGCCTGGCACAGTGCGGGGAGCCCAGGACTCCCACGTATTAGAGGGTTGTGGGGTGCCAGATGTCAAGTCTACCTTAGCCTGAGAAGAAGCCAGAGTGTGGGCAGGTGGGGGACTCTGGGTTGTGGGAAGCAAGCAAATCCCAACATCATCTGCTTCTGCCGCGACGGGGGCTTAGTCCCTTCTCAACCCCAAACGATGCTTTCTCTCTCCTCGTTCCTCTGTGGCATCATCTGGCCTTATAAGGTGCATTCTAATCTCAGCAGCGTTCTGAATACTGAAATTTCTCCTCCTATCAGCCCAGATGTACCGACTGGCAGAAGCTCTAAGGAGAGCAGGCTGAGCTCAGTGGTGTGCAACTGAAAAGGAACAGCAGGGCTCAGGCTATTACTAGAAACAAAACCATTCCAGGAAAGAGTCCTGCAAATTCTAGAAGGCAGCCCACCCACCAGCACCACGTGATTCTGGGGAAGGCCTTTATTGCGCCACAACACAAACCGGCTTTTCACAGGGAGCCATTTCCTTATTTAGGCCAAAGTTCATGTTTCACGGCCACCCGCTGAGACTGTGGTTTTAGACATTCAGCAGTACCATTAAAAGCCCCTCTCTCTCCCCACATGGAGACCATCTCTGGGTCCTGCGGTGCCCTGAGGCACAGAGGAGGAACTGGGCAGGAGTCCTGGCCCTGCTCCTTTCCCCTCCCTCTTCCTTGTCTATTTCCTTTGTCCCATTCTATGCCAGGCCCTTCACTGGATCCTGGAGGTGCAGGGAGGGAGGGAGGGAGAGAGGGAGGAGCACACAGGATCCTGCCTGCCTGGAGCTCACAGCCCAGAGGGGCACAGGCAGGCACAGGGAGTTGCAGCTCGACCTGACCACTGCAGAGAGCAGCAGAGGCCCCCAGGGACCCAGGGCCTGGGAGTGGGGTGGCAGGTCAGCTGAGCCAGGCTGGGACCATCAGGGCAGCCTCTCAGGTGAGGGAGGGGAAGAGGAAGAGTGGCTGCAGGGAAGTGACGGAGGCAGGGAGACCCAGATGTGCAGAGTAGCAGAGGCTAGAGCCAGGGCTGGAGTGCAGGGCTGGAATGTCACTCAGTGGGCCTACGGGTGCAGAGCCCAGGGAGGGAGAGGAGGGTGAGGAAGGGCCAGTCAGGAAGGGCCTGGGAGCTGCCCACAGGGTGTGTCCTGGGCCCTGAGGTCAGAGGAAGGTCATGGCCAGATGTGCCCTTGGGAAGGCTGTCATGGGTTCTGAGGGGTTGGATACGGAGTGGCAGGGACAGGCGGCGGGGGCTGGTCAGGGGGCTGTGGGGGTCACAGAGGCAGACATGGGGCTGCCTGAACCAAGTCTGTGGATGGGATATTGACAAGGACACCAACCAGGAGAAGCTTCTGGAGTCCACACTGATTGGTTTTAGTGACTGGATATTGGCGTGAGGAAGAGGGCAAAGGAGAGCAGACCCCAGGTCTAGGATGGGACATCCTGGGATGAGGGAGACGGAGGCTGTCACCCACTGAGGACAGGCATAGAGAGGGCAAAAATGGAAAAAACCTTCAATGATGAGGCTGCTATGCCCTGGGGCAGGACATGGAGAAGTGGGAAAGAGGTGAGGAAGGGGAAGAAGGTGGGCAAGACAGGAACCAGCATGAGGGGTGTGCAGGGAAGACCCAGCTTGGCCTCCTTCCAGCTGAATGTTCTCAGGCAAGCCTCTCCACCTCTCTGATCCTCAGTTTCCCCACCTGTGTCATGGGATGATCATGCCTTCCCCTGGGGCTGTGGAGAGGGTGCAGTTATTGTAGGACAAGTTCCCACAGAGGCCTGTTCTGTGAGTGCAGAGCCCCCTCGCTGCTGGGAGCTGGGGGGCCCATAAGACCCCACTCAGGCCCCAGCAGGATGCTGTGAGCTCCTGTTTCCCAGAGCATCATCTCCAAGAGATAGGTGTCCTGAGGCTGGATGGGGTAGGGTCTGAGGAGGAGGTGGCTCTTGGGGCCATGGAGAGGCACAGGGAAGGAGGAGTGATGAGGAACTGAGGGTCAGTCTGCAGAGGGTGGAGAGCTCAAGACTCACCTTCCCAGCCTTGCTCCTGGCCTCAGTGAAGGTGCTGGTCCATGCAGGCTCTTGGGTCAGGCTGCTAAGGGGCGCATGTACAATGCACCCATGCACATACATCTGCATCCTCAGCATGCACACACACAGCACACACGCGCCACACACACGCCCAGACGGTCCTTCTCTCTCCCATCCCACAAGATAATTCTCCAGACTTCCAGCCCCCAGTGCCCCCACTGAGGAGAGCCTCTAAAAGTGACAGCAGGGCTGGGGATCTCATGGGGGCTAGAAGCTGATGAACATCAGCAAGGCGTCTCCAGGGTGAGCTGCAGCTCCCCAAGCCAGGGTCCCTGTTCTTGCCTAGAAGGCCGTATACTCCATCTCTGGCTTTTCTGTTGCAGCCACAGCAGGAGCCCAAACCGGGAGACCTGATTGAGATTTTCCGCCTTGGCTATGAGCACTGGGCCCTGTATATAGGAGATGACTACGTGATCCATCTGGCTCCTCCAGGTAAGGACTGATGAATATATAATTTTCAAACTATTTGTTAAAAGGATGACGAGAGGGCCGGGTGCGGTGGCTCATGCCTGTAATCCCAGCACTTTGGGAGGTTGAAGCGGGTTGATCGCCTGAGGTCAGGAGTTCGAGACCAGCCTGACCAACATGGAGAAACCCCATCTCTACTAAAAATACAAAATAAGCCAGGTGTGGTGGCACATGCCTCTAATCCCAGCTACTCAGAAGGCTGAGGCAGGAGAATCACTTGATCCTGGGAGGCGGAGGTTGCAGTGAGCTGAGATTGTGCCATTGCACTCTAGCCTGGGCAACAAGAGCAAAACTCCATCTCAAAAAATTAAAATAATAATAACAACAAGATAATGAGAGCCACTGAAAGACAGTTAAGAAAGGGAAACTTGCCGGGCACGGTGGCTCATGCCTGTAATCCCAGCACTTTGGGAGGCTGAGGCGGGTGGATAACAAGGTCAGGAGATCGAGACCATCCTGGCTAACACAGTGAAACCGTGTCTCTACTAAAAATACAAAAAATTAGCCGGGCGCGGAGGCAGGCGCCTGTGGTCCCAGCTACTCAGGAGGCTGAGGCAGAAGAATGGCGTCGGCCCGGGAGGTGGAGCTTGCAGTGAGCCGAGATCGCACCACTGCACTCCAGCCTGGGCGACAGAGCGAGACTCCATCTCAAAAAAAAAAAAAAAAAAAGGGAAACTTGGGTTAGGAGACACATTCTTCTTCAAGGATGCCTGATGAGATTGTACACACATATGTCCCAGGGAGTAGACACAGTGCATTCCGTAGGTTCTGGCAGAATAGAAGAGACAATTGCCTCCCGCAGCAAAGCTGGGCTGCTTCAGCATTGGGATCTCTCTAGCTCAAAGTCAGTTAACTTAGCATGCAGAATCTCATACGACTTAAACCAGCCAGGTTTCTTAGGTCTTAAAGAAGAAAGTTTCTCAAAAGGAACAATGTTTCTCCGTGCTAGATCCTTTGCCTCATATGTTTTCACAGAACCAGGTGTCTTGATACTACGTACTTAATTGCTCCTTAATGGGCGCAATTCTCACAGGTTTATACATTTTTTTAAAATTCTCATACAAATGCACAGTAAGCAATACCAGTGATTTATTTAACTCATTAATAACAGAAGCAGCAAGATGACATAGCCAGTTAAAAGCAGAATGAAGGAAACATATGTATGGATAGTCAACGAAAGGGGAAAAAAACGAATGCAGAGGACAGGCACAGTGGCTCACTCCTATAATCCCAGCACTTTGGGAGGCCAAGGTGGGCAGATCACTTGAGGTCAGGAGTTCAAGACCAGCCTGGCCAACATGGTGAAATCCCATCTCTACTAAAAATACAAATTAGCTGGGGGTCGGTGCGCGGTGCATCTGTAATCCAGAGCTACTCAGGAGGGCTGAGGCAGGAGAAATTGCTTGACCCAGGAGATGGAGGGTTGCAGTGAGCCCGAGATCCTGAACGACGGTGGCCCACTGCACTCTAGCCTAAGTGACAGAAGCAAACATTGGTCTCAAAAAACAATAACAACGAAAAATGCAGAAATGAGACAATGAGACTGCCCAAATTAGGTAGGTGCAGGTAAGTTCATATTCTCTAAGGCAAATGCCACTACATAACTCTTGAATGTTCTCTTTCACTAAGCATTTACACTGTCACTGGACAAAAACCATTCCATAACTATCAGAGCAAGACATTTGCATCTTATCAGTTTTCTCCAACCCATCATCTCCCCAGGCAGGGTTGTAAAAAATGTCTGAATTGAGGAAAATAGTAAATCAAGCCACTTAATCCAGATGAACTTCACCGGGACCTTGTAAGAACAAAGCAATGGCAATGAAGACACATGGTCCTTTTTGTGCTAACCTGCAGGATGTAAAAGAGTCCTTTTTTTTTGTTTTTTTTTTTTGAGGCACAGTCTTGCTCTGTCACCAGGATGGAGTGCAGTGGCACAATCTCAGCTCACTGCAACCTCCACCTCCCAGGTTCAAGCGATTCCCCTGCCTCAGCCTCCCGAATAGCTGGGACTACAGGCACACGCCACCACACCCAGTTAATTTTTTGTATTTTAGTAGAGATGGGTTTCACCACGTTGGCCAAGATAGTCTCGATCTCCTGACCTCGTGATCCGCCAGCCTCGGCCTTCCACAGTGCTGGGATTACAAGCATGAGCTAATACACTCAGCCATAAACAGGCTTTTTTAAGACAATTTTTCTTTCTTTCTTTCTTTCTTTTTTTTTCCTCTGAGACAGGGTCTTACTCTGTCTCCCAGGCTGGTGTGCAGTGATGTGATTATGGCTCACTGCAGCCTTGACCTCCCCGCGCTCAGGCCAGGTGATCCTCCCACATCAGCCTTCTGAATAGCTGAGACGACAGGCATGCGCCACCATGCGCAGCTAATTTTTGTGTTTTTTGTAGGGAAAACACAACAGGTCTCACCATGTTGTCCAGTCTGGTCTCGAACTCCTGAGCTCAAGTGGTCCACCCGTGTAGGCCTCCCAAAGTGCTGGGATTACAGGCATGAACCACTGTGCCCAGCCAACAGGATTTTCTTAAGTGGGTTCTAAGTGCAAACATCAGCCTTGAGATTAGAAACGGGGCAAGAGAGGTAACACACCTAATTATTGTGCGCATTAGGTACTATCCATTTTAATAAAAATAACACCTGGAGTCACTATATAATGCAATTGGGGTTCCATTGGTTGACAGCTCTTCTGTGTACCTCTCTATGTGCCTAGAACTGTGCGAGATTGTAGGACAGAAGACACTTTACAAAGGATTCCCTCAACACCAGCTCAGTGCAGTGGAAGGAACCTGCACTTTGGGGCTTAAGAGAAGCAGTTTCACATCCTGATTCTAGGACTTCTCATAGCACGGAAAAGTCTCATGATATCTCTCTCAGCCCGATACTGGTTTTTAAATTGAGATGATAGTATTTTCCTTGAAAGTTAAAAAGGAAATTAAATTAGGAAGTATGTGTAACAGCACAGCATGGTAACTGAAACAGTGGGTACTAAACGAAGTGGATCTTTTTCCAAAACACGAGTGTACAAAGCTGAACACATAATAAATATGCTTCACCATCATTGCTTATAATGATGAAAATTTTTCCAATACCTAAATGACTGATAACAGGGGATTGGCCACAGAAGTGATGCACATGCATAGCATGGAATATGGTAGCAGCCACTGGCAATCATGACATTCACTGACTTGAACAAACATTCACACCTTATTTGATTAAAAAAGAGAGAGCAAAATCTATTAGCTGGGCGTGGTGGCCGGCGCCTGTAGTCCCACTACTCGGGAGGCTGAGGCAGGAGAATGGCGTGAACCCGGGAGGCGGAGCTTGCAGTGAGCTGAGACCGCGCCACTGCACTCCAGCCTGGGCGACAGAGCGAGACTCCGTCCAAAAAAAAAAAGCCAAATCTGTGAATCCTCCAGTCACATTTGTGAAAGGATAAACAGCAGTAGTTCCCTAGTGGAGATTTCAAGCCCTTCTCTCCCTACTTCACCTTCCCCTGCCAGTGAGAATGCCTCTGATTGCAGATGGGTACCCCGCGGCTAGCTCCTCCAGTGCCTTCTCAGTCGCGGGCGGCATTGCAGTGGTGAAACAGGAGCTCCTGAAAGATGTGCTGGAAGGCTGTAAGTATCGGGTCAACAACAGCTTGGACCGTAGGTTCGAACCACTGCCCGTGGGGGTGATCATCAGTTCTGCCAAGGAGTTGGTTGGTCAGAAGATGAAGTACAGTATTGTGAGCAGGAACTGTGAGCACTTTGTCACCAAGCTGAGATATGGCAGGTCCCACTGTCAACAGGTAAGGACCTCTCTGGATAATCCATCTCCCCTGGGGAGGTCTGCTTGGGGCTGGACTCACTGGGCTATGCAACCAGGCGATCACCGTGAATGATGCAAATGCAGCCTCTTGGAGACCCACTGACTGAGAGTCAGGACCTCTGAGCTCCGATGCCAGATCTGCTTCTAATCCACAGAGGGTCTTTGGACAGGTCCCTTCCCCTCCAGGCCTCTCCATGTGCAGAGTGGGTGGATGGAGGACCTCTGAGGATCCTTCCCCTCTAAACCCTATCCTGAAAATGACTCCTGAAGTTCTGGGGGTCATCAGGAGAATCTGGGCCAACCCAGGACTGTGACAGGTCCCGCAACCCCCCAAAGAGCACTTAGGTAAGGGACGCTCAGGGTGCATGGACCTGTGTAAGAGCTCAAGGACATTTGTGTGTAAGATCTGCAGCCTCCATCCCTTGTCTCTTCATCGGCTTTCACATTTGTTGCCCCAAAACACACAACTAATAAGTGGCAGAACCAGGATTGAAACCCCGGCTGTCCTTTCTAGAGTCTCTGCCTGTGATGCCTACCGTGTAGCAGCTCAGGGCCCCTGGCCTGCGGGACTGAATGGATGCGCGTCCTTGATGAGATGGGGATGATGGCAGGAGGAGAGGCTTTGGGGAGGGAAATCGAGAGTTTGGCGTGGCATGTGATGTCTGAGGTGCCCATTAGAGGCCCAGGTGGAGATAAGGCATGGAGTTGAAGTTTAGGCTGAAGTAGAGCTGGAGATGGAAGTTTCCAGGCTGCAGTTGGGAATAGTACACAGTGACCCCAGGGCACGCATATGGCCATGGCCTCCCTAAGTCTCCCCTCAGCTTCTGCCACAGCCCTCCCTGTGCAACGGTGTAGCTCAAGGAGGACTCAGACTGCAAAACAGTCCCCAGTCTGGCCCCTGGAGCTCTGGCCCTAGGAAGTGAGGCACAAACCTTCTTCCTCGCCGCAAATCCGAACAAATGTCCTCACCTGGAAGCTCTCTCAAAAGGATTTCATGGGCACATTCTAAGGACAAGCCCAGATAAACCCAACACCAAGAAGTGGTCACAGCCCAGAAAATGGAGTCCCTGGGGATACAGCCAACGGCTTCTCTGGGAGAGGATTCTGAGCCAGTCAGCTGGGAGAGAAAAGAGGAGATGCCAGGCCGTAGGGGAGGCAGGAGAGAGGGGAGACGGGGAGGAGTTCCAGGCCCTTGGGAGGGAGAAAGTGCCAGCCTGGCTTGCTGCGAACGCTCAACAAAAGCTGCTTGCTTTGCAGGTGGAAAATGCCGTGGCTGATGTCGGTGCGTTCGCGATAATTGGAGCGGCTGTTGCTGGATGCTCTTTTGCGATTATGAAATACCAAAAGTGACAGCCTGAAGCAGCCACAAAATCCTGTATTAGAAGCAGATGTGGGGGTCCCAGTGGAGATGTGGGGGTCCCAGGCCTCCCCCACACCTCCAGCAGCCTGACCCTCGTGCTCTGTCTCAGGCTCTCTCTAGATCCTTTCGTTTCCTTCTCTCGCTGGTGAAAGTATGATCTAATTGAAATAAGATTGAAGGATCAATAAACAGCCATCTGCCCCTTCAGAAAGGAATTCTACCAGGTTTTTGTAGACTTCTGAATCACAAAGGAGGAAAGTAACACTGAGTGAACACCCACTGGATAGTCCCAGCAATTTCCAGCTGGGTGACTTTGGAGAAGGCTGTTGATTCTCTGAAACTCAGTTCTTCCATGTCAGGTAATGTCAGGAGGATCACCTAAGATAATGCATACACGGCACCCAGCCCCATGTCTGGTACGTAACAGATGTTCAGTGAATTGTCTTCATCATTCTACACAGACATAACATTGACGTAATTGCATGTTGTTAATTTTACTCTCAGGGAGGTAAAAAAAAAAACTTAATTACCTCCCGGTATTGTCTCATGTGGTGCTTAAATCCACTCACAACACCTATGCATCTACCAGCATCTTCCCCGTTCCCTTCCTCAACTGGCCCTCTTTTTAGAAAGCTTGTTTTTTTTTTTTTTTTAGCTCAAAGGTCTGAGTTCTCACCCACCTGTGACTACTAGATGGAGTAATATTCTTTCCAGGCCCAAATTGCCATGGCTCAAGCTGGTCCTGGGTGGAATGCTGAGAATTAGCTACCTCTAAATCTCCCTCCACTACTTCCAGCATGCCCTGGGTGTGGCTCCGGAAGTGCCCAGCTCCCCATGTTTCTGTGCTTCCTCACTCCAGCCTCTACCACCAGTGACCCTACTCAGTGGCCGCTTCCATGGTGGTCACTGCAGCCACCACCACTCTGCCTTCAGGACCGAGGACATCACCCTCCCCTGGGTTGTACTTTTTCATGCGTGAGCGAGCTGGTTGGTCCCTTAATTCACCAACACAGTGGAGACCAGGCTGTAATGATTAACGAGACTCCCCTGGAAGCTCAGGGCTATTGGAAGGTTGAAGAACAAAGAGAATAACTTATCATTGCTACAATTAGAGGGGGCTCTGCTTAGATTCCTGGCTGAAATACCAGGCTCCATTTGGGGATTGCAGAAGCATCCATGCCTGCCTTGCTCCAGGGCTACCTCCACATCAGAGGGCCCAGCTGCTCTACCCAGAGTCCAGGTCTAAAAACCAGAAGGCACAGCAAGAGAAGAAGGCTTTCTCACTTCTTGTGATCTAAGGCTCACCTCCCCAGATTTCACTGCCTGTCCAGGATCAATTGTTCCAGTGTGCTGGACAATGGGAACATCCAGGCCCTTCCAAGGTGTGCTTGACCTCCATGACTAGGTCAGATCCCGTTAGGAGTCTCAGATGTCCACGTGTCTGCACTTCATGTGATTCTCACAGTTGCAGTGAACACTGATCCATGTGGTTATTTTACTAATGTGCCTTTCCCTGCCAGTATTTTTGGAACAGTCCAAGTTTGGTACCACTGGGACCCCAGCATCAAGTACAATGCTTAACTTTCTATAACCACTTGATAGACGATGGATTACAAGCGAAGCACAGTAGTATGCACCTGTAATCCCAGCTACTTGGGAGGCTGTGGCAGGATTACTTGAGCCCAGGAGTTCGAGATCAGCTTGGGCAACATAGTGAAACCCCATCTCTCAAAAAGGAAAAAAAAATAGTGGTTTACTTAATTAACAAATTTATTAACTAATATGTAGGAAAACAGGGCCGGGCACAGGGGCACACACCTGTAATCCCAGTACTTTGGGAGACCAAAGGAGGATCTCTTGAGCCCAGGAGTTCAAGACCAGCCTAGGCAACATAGTAAGACCCTGTCTCTACAAAAAAATAAAAATTAAAAATAAAAAAAGATTAGCCAAGTGTGGTGGTGCATGACAGAGCAGGACCATCGCCGTCTTGGACAAACATCAACATTCTATGTTCCCGTTAATTAAAAAACTGCCTAAATCCAGCCCCAGAACATCATCTCCAGGACATCAGGACATTTCCCTATGCTGGGAAACCAACTCCCAGGATAACCAGGAACATTCCAACCCTAAGATAAAACCCTTTCCAACCAGAAACATGCCAACCCCAAGATAGGCTCCCCTCTGACCAGAGACATTCTAACCCTACAGTAAACTTTCCCTCACATAGAAACATTCCAAACCTACAATGATCTTCCCACTTCCTAAACTCTTAAATATCCTTAGTCCGTTAGAACACTCATGACCAAAATCAACCAGAAGCTCCTCTCAGGTTTATTCTCTAAATAAACCTGTCTTTGACGGTTGAACCCCTTTTTGTGTTTCTTTCCTCTTTCTTTAACACTTAGAGTGTGTGCCTATAGTCCCAGCTACTCAGGAGGCTGAGGCGGGAGGATCATTTGAGCCCAGGAGTTCAAGTCTGCAGTGAGCTATGATCAAAAAAAGTACAAGTAAAAAATAAAAATATAAAACATGACCACTCTTCTCAAAAAATAAAAAATAAAAAACATGACCACTCTTCTCAAAAAAATGTTGTGGCCACCAAAGGTTAATGCACACCAGGATTGTGTTGCTGTGAAGTTGAGAAATACACTGAACCAGTTCCAGACCTCTCTGGACTGACTGCCATGAACTAGATTTCACTAAATGTGGAATATATATATATATACACACACACACACACACACTCATATATAATACATATTTTATATATATTATACATATATATGTAACAAAAGCATACTTCATTTTTTCATAAGTTCATTAAATGGTTGTACCACCTCTGGACAGTCCTTGGTCTCAGCAAATCTTTTTGCTAAGATTAAAAGTAGCTGAAGGCCAGGTGCAGTGGCTCACACTTGTAATATCAGCACTTTGGGAGGCCAAGGCAGGTGGATCACCTGAGGTCAGGAGTTCGAGACCACCCTGACCAACGTGGCAAAACCCCATCTCTACTAAAAACACAAAAATTAGCCAGGCATGGTGGCAGGTGCCTGTAGTCCCAGCTACTCAGGAGGTTGAGACACAAGAATTACTTGTACCCAGTGACGGAGGTTGCAGCAAGCCAAGATCGCACCACGGCACTCCAGCCTGGACAACAGAGAGAGACCCTGTCTCAAAAAATAAATAAATAAATAAAAGTGGCTGAAGAGAGCATGCATATATTCCTTCCACAAGCTGTTTTTCAGCTCAAGAAATTTTTAAGAAACTGATTGATGCTGGAGAAACAGGAATCCTGGGCTGTGTGTGGTAGGACTGGATTGTCCTTTGTTGTTTGTGTCACTCTCGAAGACAGCATCCCTCTCCCCACCCAGGAGTGACGGGACAGCTGGCAGGACACAGAGAGGCCCTAGTGCTGCCCTCCTGCCTCATGGACAATGAAATGTTTTGCTTATGTGCACCCACCAGAAAGTGCTCTGAAGGTGGTTGGGATCTGAGACAACCAGGACATAGGAGGAGCAGGAGGAGCAGGGGAGCTCCCAGTGCTGCCTGCCCTATTATCCTCTTTCCTGGGTGGCTTAAAGTCTCATTTTGGGGTAAGAGAAACTAATTTAAGACATGAGTAGGGAGGGTCTTAGTTCCTGCAAAGATCTCCTCAAACCATCAGGAAGTCCCATGGTTGGACCTGGCCCCTCCTGCAGAGCCCTGACCCTTGGCACTCAAGACATAGGAGAAGAAGGAAGCCGTCATGAAAGTGCAATGTGGAAGGACAAGGACCAGGGATAGGGCCCTGGGCTCTGGCTCCAGCTCATCAAAGAAAGGGATATTAAACACAGCTTCTCCTGCCATCTCTGTTTTGGCCAACGTGCCCAAATTGACCACAACAGCTGTTCTGTGTTTACACACTCTGAAGTCAAAATCACTAGCCACGTCCTCAGGCTACGTGCTCTCCATAGTTCCTGGGAGGTGAGCAGTTTTAATACTGTGTGGACAGAAAGGGAAACTAGACTCAGAGTCTAAGCCAGTGACCCAAGGTCACACAGTCACTAAGCGAAGGTTCTGGATTCCCTTCAAGTCAATTTGACCCAAAAGTCAGTTCTTTGGGCCAGGCCACTGGAATGTTCTCTGATGAGACTTGCATGGGCAGTCTCACCCGCTGCCTTGCTTGATGTCCCAGGATAGCTCCTGTATGCCCACTGCAGATTTCGCAGGCTCAGGCCTTGGAGCAGCATCACTCAGTGCAAGCTTGAAGCTGTGGGCAGAAAGGTCAGGAGCTGCTCAGCCCCCCATTCTCTCACTTCCTGTGAAGAAATTGGTGCAACTAAAGATGGCGGATGCACCCCAGAAGCATCCTCCAGGGGGAGACCTGTGTTTCCCTGGGGCGGTGGAGGGAGGGAGGAAGTGTTCAGGGCAGCCACTTGTCAGGGTGACAGTTATGCTGAGAGCACCTGGAGAATCTTCCTGGCTTGCAGTCACCTTCTCACTAGGTCCTCACGTGGTGGAGAGAGTGTGAGCTCTGGTCTCTTCCTTTTCTTTTTTTTTTTCTGAGACAGAGTCTCATTCTGTCACCCAGGCTGGAGTACAATGGCATGATCCTGGCTCACTGCAACCTCTGCCTCCTGGGTTAAAGCAATTCTCATACCTTAGCCTCCCAAGTAGCTGGGATTACTGGCACCTGCCTCCACACCTGGCTAATTTTTGTATTTTTAGTAGAGATGGGGTTTCACTATGTTGCCCAGGCTGGTCTTGAACTCCTGACCTCAGGTGATCCTCCCGCCTTGGCCTCCCAAAGTTCTGGGATTACAGGCGTGAGCCACCGCGCCCGGTCTGGACTCTTCCTTTTCACATAAGAACACTAATTCCATCCTAGAGGCTCTACCCTCACAACCTAATTACCTCCCAGCGACCCCACCTCCAATACCCTCCCACAGGTGGGTTAGAGTTCAACATATGAATTTGGGGTGTGAGAGGAACACAAGCATTCAGTCCATAGCAGAGCCCAATGATGTCTTTAATAGAATTCATACTAAGCTGCATTTCCAAATAAATTTTCCTATGCTTTTAACTCCATTAAAATAAAGATTCATGAACACAAAACAGTAAAATCAGTAAGCCAAACTCCACTCCTGCTGGCTAGATAATATTCCTCCATAAGAATTGGTTGTTGTTGGGACAATTTCTTGGATTTATTGCCTTTCCCGCCTGCTTCT